ACTGTAAGTGCGTTTTTTATATTTAAAGAATTTGCCACTGATGTTTCAAACCTGAGTTTTGAGCAGTGTAGAGTAGGACTTGTTGTTTGCCATTTCTTCGATCACAAATGCAGACATGGTTTTATGTTTACGCGGCGCGATGCAATGCAATGCGTAAAAGGCAGTATAAATCATTATAATCCATAATTATGTCCCCACTGGATGCAACAAATGCCTCGTTTGTGATGGGTTTTAATGTTTTTGTCTCGTCGCTCCGGCCGGGACACGGCATCACAGTATGGTGAGGGGCGTAACATTTCCGTCACATGCTTGAGGTATTCGGCCAATCACAACGCACTGGATAGCTGGCCAATCACAGCACACGCTTTTCAGACCGATGAGCTTTGTAAAAATCGACGCATTTCAAAAAGGCGGGGCATAGAGGAGAAACAATAATGTACAGTATGTGGAAAATAATGTGTTTTTTTAACCTTAAACCGCATAAACATTTCATTACACCAAATACACTTTTTAGCAACATCATATGACTCCTTTAAAATCGTGTTAAATACGAAACTCTTTTTGGTAGCTGAAAACATGATCAAATTAGCCTAAATATTGAATAAACACAAAGTATTTTGGCCACAGATTTTGTGTGGGCCTAGTGACAGGAGTTCAGCTGATAGAAAGATGTGAAAACCCTGCACTGACCATAAAACAACAACTCAAACTTGCTCTAAGTTTAAAGTTACACTTGAGACTATAGACTTCTCTCTTTCTCTCTCTTTCTCTTTACTCTCTCACCACATATGATCTGAGAGTCTCATGAGTAATGAGGCTGTACAAACAGTGCAAACTCCTTCTGAAGCTCACTCTCTGAAACACACACAAACACACACTCATATAAAGTAAACAGACGAGCAGAAGCAAGCTGTCTTCACACCCTCAGCTCTGTCTCTGTAAATACAGCTCTAGAGTAGTGACTGAGACTCTAATGATACCTAATTATCGCGCAATGCTGCAGCCAGCACTGTGCTCTCTTTAAGCCTCTGAATCCTTCACAAATTACAGCACAAACTGTTAAGCCTTCAGATGAAGAAGAAATTCAGTTAAGCTATGCAGTGTACATCAGAGAACAGGCCTGAAGGGTAGTGCAGCACTCTGACTTGTTGAGGTGCGAGTTTGAGTCTGGCTCATGCCATTTCCTGAACCCATTCCCCCTCTTTCTAATTTCATGTCTCCTCTCTCACTACGCTTTGCATTACAATTCATCTCAGGCTTTAAGAGAGAAACAAATGTGTAGTACAGTGTTGTACAATGATATATTGTTAACAAAATTATTAATTATATTAACAACGCATCACAGATACCGTTACAAAAATATAGATAAAAATATAGAGGGGTCCTCAGCAAACTTTTAAGAGGGCCTCAAAATGACTTAATTATTTAAAATAAGACAAAACAAGCATTAAAATAAAATGAACCAATTCAAAATTATAATATTTCTTATTTCAAATTACCCATGAAAATTGTTTCTTCTCTCAACCAAAGGTTTTTTTTCCTGTAAAAAACCAGGGCTCCTACATTCTTGAAGCCTAATTTTAAGAGTGATTTCTAGATCTGGAAAATAACAATACAACAAAGTTGTATTAAACTCAAAAAACTGTATTAAACTTTAAAAAGTCCATGGGCATTTCTAGAATGAATATATTTTATCGAGTAGAAACTTTGAGTACATTTTAAAAAAAAAATCTCATTCAGTAAATAAAAAAAAACGGGAAAAGTTGTGGTGCTTTCAAAAACAGTGTATTTATGGACAATGGAGGCCATGGAGTCAGAAAGTTTGAGAACTAGATTGTGAAAAGCGTTATCTTAAAGTGCTATTTCTACCTCATTTGTTTTTTACCTTTGTACCTTTATTCTGAAATTAAAAATAGTTTTTTTGTTTGTTTTTTGGTACTTGATTTAAATACTTTACGTAATTTAGGTACTTTAACATTTGTATTGTATATGTTTGACTTCAATAAAAACAGTTAATTTAGAATTTTACATTTTAGATAAATTTTTTTCCCCAGTAAACTGCGCTAATTCATATTTTCACATGCAAATGAGCGGTTTCATTTGATGCAAATTTATCAATTTTTTTACTGTAAACAGCTAAGTTTTCTTCAGCTCTCAATGTGTAATTCATTCATGGGCTTTATAAAAAAATGGGAAATGTTATTTAATTACAATAAGTATTAATTTTAATTGCAACTTTGCATCTCACAATTGTGACTATGGCTGTGTCTGAAAGCTTAGGCAGCAGGCAATGACTTTGCAGGCAGCGATTGTTCATGAAGCCACCTCATTTCAATAGACTTTTGAAGCAGCATAACAGAATAATGATCTACAACAAAACAGAGAGAACTTTGCTGATAACTAAGCAAATATTGAATTACTACAATACTAATTTCCTGCTAGACATCAAAAGTGGAAGTGAGGCAAAAACGTACTCGGTTACTAACGTAACCTCGGTTCCCTGAGATACGGGAACGAGTACTGCGTCTTGCTTAAGACGCATATGGGAACAGTCCAATCACACCGTGCTAATGTAGTGGAACGACTAAAGGTATAACTTCCATAAGCAACCAATGCTTATAGAGAAGTCAACAATAACCCAAGGCTAAGCGGGCTGAGCTTTCTAGGTCACACTCGGCCTGGTTAATCGTTCCAGAGTATACCCGTATCTTCGACACCCAGGGGTCGAGAGCTAACAGGTGAACAATACCAGAAAATTTGGGCGCGGCACGGCCAAGGGCTCTCTGTCATGTCTGTTTACGCAGTGCGTGCCATTTCAAGCGGAAAGGATCCTGGCCTGTAAGGCCAGGACTTCCAGGTTATAAAACCTGAAGAGTATGCTAGCGTGGCGTCTACTATCCATCTAGAGAGTCTTTGCTTCGTAACCGGAAACCCCTTGGTGCAGTTTTTTACATACTTTAGGTCGTTTTTTAAAACAACTTTAGAGTCGTTAGGCCCGAATTCCAGACAGGCAGGGCTAATTGAGAGCGCCTGCAGGTCTCCTATTCGCTTTACTGATGCTAGTGCTAGAAGCAGAGCAGTCTTTAGCGATAGCGACCTAATTTTGGCGGCTTGTAGCAGCTTGAGAGGCCGCTATAGCCGCCACATAGACTTTGAGCGTGGATGGGGAGCGACCCTTATCCAGCAGCTCTTGTAGAAAAGACAGCACCTCCGCTAATTCGGAAATGATAGGGTCTTTGCCGCGGTTTAACCCTCTGAAGTCGATTAACGCGGATACGCAGTGCTGATTATGGTGCTACTAAACTTAGTCATTAAAATGTTTATTAGCAACTGAAAAAAGCACAAATGTCAGGACATGTCAAAACTTCTCCAGTGCCCAAAACACCCTCAGACCCCAGAAGGTTAAACACCAGATGGAGAAAAAAGACCACTTTAAGGCATAGAGGCGTCTCATAGACAGAGCTCTAGCTTCCGAAATTGTGTTTAAGACTCGCTCTGGAAGGCTCCCGTTGAGCGGCCAGAGGTGCAGGGCCCATAGGTCGGGTCGAGGATGCCATAATGTCCCGTTCCCTTGAGAGAGGAGATCCCGTCTCAGTTGAACAGGCCAAGGGGCCGCTATCAGTAGCCGAGTCAGCTTTGATAGCCACAGCTGGTTCAACCACAGGGGGGCTACCAGGAGAACCCTGTGTTTTTGTTCCCTCACTCACCTGATTACCTGTGAGATCAGAGCGATCAGGGGGAATGCATAAAGAAAGAGGTTGGGCCAATCGTGGGCCTTGGTCTTTGAGAAATAAATTTGGCAGTGAGAGTTGTCTTCTGAGGCGAAGAGGTCTACCTCGGCCTCACCAAAGATCTCCCAGATTTTCTGAACCATTTGCGGATGGAGCATCCACTCTCCTGAGGGAACATTGCTCCTTGATAACATGTCCGCTCCCCGGTTCAATTTGCCCGGTATATGCGCTGCCTTTAGCAAGCGCAGGTTGGGTTGAGCCCACTCTAAGAAGCGCTCCACTAGCATGAAGATGCGTTTTTGAAGAGAGGCCTCCCTGGCGATTTATGTAGGACACAACCGACATGTTGTCCGATCGGATTAGCACATGGTGCCCTTTCAGGACTGGCAGGAAGAACTGACAGGCTCGACATACTGCTAACATTTCCAGGCAGTTGATGTGGAAGCCTTTTTCCGCCATCAACCAGTGGCCGAAGGTCGGTATGCCCTCGCACAGCGCCCCCCAACCTGAGTTGGAGGCGTCTGTCGTGACAACTGTCCTTCTGTGAACCATCCCCATGGCCACGCCCTGTTCCATCCAACGGGAGTTCTTCCAGGGGGTCAGGGCCGATACACAGGCCTGACTCACCCTGATATGCAGGCGTCCGTGACGCCATGCATGGAATGGAACCCGTGATTTCAACCAGCGCTGAAGGGGGTGCATACGCAGCAGACCCAACTGTAACACTGGAGATGCTGCTGCCATGAGGCCCAGCATCCTTTGAAGCGCTTTGAGCGGGCGACCGGTACCGATCTTGAAGGAGGTCGCCAGCCTCCGTATGGCCAGAGCTTGTTCTGGCGTGACTACAGCTTTAATTTGAGCTGAGTCGAAGATTGTTCCCAGGAACGAGATTCATTGGCTGGGAAGCAATGAGCTTTTGGCAAAATTGACCCTGAGTCCCAGGCACTCCAGGTGGCTGAGGAGGAGGGCTCTGTGAGATATTAGTTCTGTCTCCGACTGGGCCAGGACGAGCCAGTCGTCGAGGTAATTGACAATACGGACTCCCATCTGTCTCAGAGGGGAAAGAGCCGCATCCATGCACTTCGTAAAGGTGCGGGGGGCCAGGGACCGCACGAAGGGAAGGACCATATATTGATAAGCCACACCCTCGAAGGCGAATCTCAAGAATGGCCTGTGATGAGGGGCTATCTTGATGTGAAAGTATGCATCCTTCAGGTCCAGGGAAAAGAACCAGTCTCTCGAGCGAATTTGCGCAAGGATCTGTTTCAGTGTAATCATCCTGAACGACCTCCTTATGAGGGTGCAATTCAAGTGTCTGAGATCGAGGATGGGCTGGAGGCCACCATCTCTTTTGGGGACAAGGACGTAACGGCTGTAAAGGCCTGACTCGCTCTGGGCTGGAGGAACCCTTTCCACGGCTCCTTTTGCCAGCAAATTCATCACCTCTGAGCGCAGGACATGGGCGTCCTTGCTCTGCACGGAGGTGGGGACCACACCGCTGAAGCGTGGGGTCTTCGAGCAAATTGGAGTGAATATCCTCGCTTTATTATGCCCATAACCCATTCCGACACCCCGGGGATGGCCTGCCAGGCCTTGGCCCGCGTGACGAGGGGTTGAATTAACTCGGGTGACTGGCCGAATGGGGGCAGAACACGTACGAGTGATGGAAGAGGAAGGTTGCTCTCTTTTTGAAAATGTTTGTGTTTTATTATTTTTCCCGCTATCACAGCGGTCGGATGCTTGGGCACATGAACGGGCCCGTTGTTTGCACAAAACACATTTCCCTCTGTACCCGAAGCTGAACGGGGTGTCAAGAGGTGTAAGAGAGGCTGCTTGAGGGGCGGTCCGGCCGTGGCTAGATCTGACCCCATCCTCTTCCGGTCTCGTGGATCAGGATGACACCTGAGGCGCTGGGTCCAACTCAATCTTGGGTCGGGGTCCCTGGCGCTTAGGAGGAGGGTAGCGTCTGGCCGAGCGAGAGCATCCCCGCGTCTGCTGCGCTTTAGCGGGCTGAACAGCGGGGGTGGCAGGCGCTGGTTTCGCAGGCTGCTGAGTCGGCGCAGATTTTGGGCGAGCTGAGACGGCAGCGGAGCTGGAGCGTTTAGGCAGGAAATGTCGCATAGCCTGGGACGATTTCTGTGCCTCCGTGAAGCGTTCAGCAAACCCTTCGACCGCTGGGCCGAAAAGGCTCTTGGGGGAGACAGGAGCATCGAGGAAGGGGATCTTATCTGCGTCCTTCATCTCCGTCAGCGTCAACCATAAATGGCACTCGAGCACCACAAGGCTGGCCATCGATATCCCAATCGCCTGGGCGGTGGTCTTGGTGGCATGTAGAGCCAGGTCTGTCGCGCTCCTCAGATCCCTGAGGGTAGCGGGGTCCAGGCCAGACTCTGAGGATGGACGGGTGAACACTCTCTTTGTGCGGCGAGAGCGAGGCACGCGGGATCTGGGCCGGCATGAACTCGCTCGTGGCCGATCGCTCGACCCCTCTGCCCCGCTGTTTTTTCCTCACAGGTCCCTGGGAGGAAGAAACGGGAGGGCGTGGGGGGCGGAGTCGCTCTCTGAAAAGAAAGCGATCCGTGAAAAGAGAGAGGCGAGACTAAAACTCTCGCAATGAGAGCAAATAGCTCCTGTGAGCGCAGCTTCCGCATGGGGTTTCCCCAAGCAGGAAACGCACTCCGTGTGGCCGTCATCAGCGTGCAGGGAAGACCCGCACGAGCCGCAATAACGGCGCGGCATTTGCAACAACGGCGCTGCTCTTTTAGAAGCTCTTTGAAGTCGCCGGATGGCAGCAGGGGAGCCGGACCGGAACTGCTGCGTCGCTGGAGAAGCAGGTCAGCCAAGCTGAGAGGTCCCGATTCCAGCTGCGAAGGCGTGTCAACGGCGAGCGGCTTCGGATCAGCGTGAGACGTAGAGTCGTCACTGAAGGAGAAGAAATCTGAGAATCCTGTGGCGAGCGCCCGCTTATATAGCCAGATGCCCCGCCCATTCTGGCGGGCTTTGGCGGGCTTCGACGCCATAGGCTCGTGCAGCTCGGCTGCCGCGCCACTGGTTCGTTTTTAAAGCCCTGCACGAACCTATGGTCGTGCAGTTTCACTGCGTGAATGAAATAGGCTTAAATTCAGGAGAAAAAGGACCGTAATCCTTTGTAGAAGTTTGCAGTAGTTCATGCAGCAAGTAGATTCAACAGGAGGCATTTTCTTTCTCTTCTGTTTGAATGTGGGCAGCTGTGTTTTCCCTTCTCCGGAATGTAAGCTGCTGGCAGTGGGAGGCAAAAGTCTTCTTTTTCGTGGTATTATTCCAGTCCCAGAGAGTTTTTAGTTTTAGTGTTTGTGCCAAAAATATGTTGTTTGAGCACTGTGCTGATCTGCTGAAGTAAAAATCTTAGAAAAATCAAAGAAAAGTACAGAAATAGGGAGCAAAGCGCAGAGCAGTAAGCAAAAACGTCCGAACGGTAGCGAAGCCGGAAGTGCAAAAAAAAAGTACGAGTGCTAGATGCAGTACGAGTGAAGTATCGAAAGGGAACCTACATTTACACACAAACTGACTACCAGCCCCAACTTTCAGACGTCATTTTTATTTTTTAGCTTAACTGTCACAATTGAACGCACAGGATTGTAGGATATCAAAAGCAGCAAATGATACACCTATGCTGCCTTCAAAAATCAATTCGATGAAGGTACATCAGGAAACAGGAAGTAAATCTAACATTGGATTCAGATATGCCTTGTTGCCTTCCTGTGACTATACAGTTTTTCACAATTGTTAATTTATTTCACATAAATTTGAAAAAGTCTCTCTGAGGTGTGAAGAGCAAAATTATTAATTAATACATTACCTGATTTTTAATTTTTTTTTATTTTGAGGTACACATTGGTTACTATATTTTACTTGAACTGTTAATAAAATCAATTACTTAAGTGCAGCTCTCTTACCAGAGTTGTTTGCTGAAACATTAAAGCGTGTTAATATTCTTCACAGGTGTGTGGATTAGTATCAGGCCTTTCCAAATGAATCTCTACTGTCATCTTATGCATTCACGAAGAGCTACAACTCATGACCAGACAAATAAATGGTTAGCAAAACTTTATTACCCATAATTCTCTTGGTGACTCTGCACTATATCCAACAGCGGGCTGATTTAGAGGCCTGTCTCTGAGCTGTTGGCAGGCAGTCTAACTGCTCCCTAATGCATTTAGAGTTAATTAGACAGCAGTGAATGAGTCAGGCCATCCAGGAGTCCTCTCAGTCCCTGCATGATGGCTTCATTACAGCTGCTCTGCATCTCTGCTCATGTCTGCTCCTTCAAACCACACAACTGCTGTCTCTGGTCAAAATGAATTAACAGCAGGAGTGGGATGTTGTGATTTGGTTAGTGTTGGGAGGAGCACAGGACTGGATTGAGTTAGTTTTGAAGGAAGTGAGAGAGAAAGATGCTCACAATGTCTGTCGAGCTTGTCCTAACAAGCTTATTCAGCTAGAGATCACTATCTCTGCATGATTACTGGTACACATTTTTCCCCTCTTTCTTTCTTTCTTTCATCTAAATGGGCACTTCAAATGTTTTTATACACGCTCTTGTATAATATAATATAATATAATATAATATAATATAATATATTTTAAAGTTTGGGTCGGTAAGATTTTTAAAAAGGTTTTTGAAAAAGAAGGCTTCTTTTAACTGAAAAAATACAGAAAAAAGTGAAGTATTATTATAATATTACAATATATTGTGAAATACTATTATTTAAAAGAACTTTAAAAAAATAACAATTTAAATAAACAAATATTTTGTAGAAAATTGGTAACACATTTTTGTCAAGATTCTGATTAATAGAAAGTTCAAAAGAACAGCTTTTTAAAATCCATCCTTGCTGAATAAAAGTATGAATTTCTTTTAAAAAATAATATACTATTTATTGAAATAATAATTAATTTAAATTTAATTTAATTAATTGATTTTCCAACTGAGAATTTCTGAACACCTATGGAAGTTTTTGTCTGATTTAGTTCACAGTTAGTGGGAATTTTGGTCTTTGCAAACTACATCTAAGCCACATATGCACACACAAAAGATATAGACAGGGAGAGGAAAAAAAGAGGAAAAGACAGTCTAAATACAAGGATAAATGTTGCCGTGCTTATCTGTTCTGCACTATGAACCTGCATTGAAACTAGTCTAACCCCCCCCCCCCCCCACACACACACACACACACGCATTTACATATACACACACACTGAATAGACATGAGGGAAATGGGTCTCCCCGTGAGTGTGTGTAATATGAGAGTCATCACCCTCATAGTCATCAGCTGTCTGTTGTTCTCTTCCTCAGGGTGGTGTTTGCACTTACAGTATCTGTCCTGCAGATTTAGCAAATATTACAGGCTACTATCTCAAAACTTGCATGGCTCTGCTATAATGGCCCTTTTATTGTGGCCAGCCTAAGGCACACCTGTGCAATAATCATGCTGTCTAATCAGCATCTTGATATGCTACACCTGTGAGGTGGATGGATTATCTCGGCAAAGGAGAAGTGCTCACTAACACAGATTTAGACAGATTTGTGAACAATATTTGAGAGAAATAGGCCTTTTGTGTACATAGAAAAAGTCTTAGATCTTTGAGTTCAGCTCATGAAAAATGGGGGCAAAAACAAAAGTGTTGCGTTTATAATTTTGTTCAGTGTAATACACTAACAAGGTTAACAACTGAAAACCAACAATTAATGCCCAGTATTTGCTCTGTTGTTATCTCATGCAAAAACATCCCATGCAAAAGATATAGTCTTATATATATAGTTTTTGTTTTCCATGTAAATATATATTTAAAGGGTTGGAATAAAACTACGAGAAAGGTATAAATATATAAAAGTCTAATAAATCCTTATTTGCCGGCCCTGCTCTGGTTTATTTGCTGAGGCTTGTGTGCTTGTCAATGATGAAGCGAGGTGACATGCGGCATATGCTGAGGGGCTCCACCAAAGCCCAGAAATATTGTTTAATTACGCCTCCACGACGCTGCAATATATCAAAACGACTTTTTCAAAAGCTGTTCTTGCTTTTGTTTTTGCCTTTTTTGCTTAAGCTCTTTGTTGTATCTCTCTTTCGCTCTCATTTATTGATGCAAAATGGAAAAAAGAACACAAAAGTACAGGTGCTCAACCTCTACCACTCCATTTACAATCATTTTCAATGCTTCTTTTGATCTCTTACTGTTGATAAGAAGCTTCTGCAGCAACTCAGAACAGATAAATAAGTACTTAAATAAGTAGCATTTGTAAACACAAATATATGAAAGTATGTTTCATATAAACCTCCCTAAACACATGATGTGATCCATATTGACCATATCCAACATGTAGATAAGTTTGTTTCTTCATCTGA